AAAAAAATATACATTACTTTCTCTTTTTATCTTTAATTTCAATTACCAATACACTTTATGATGAGTATAGGGTAAAATGAGAGAAATTTTTTTATAAATTATTTATATTTTGAATCAAAATTAGTCGGGAGAAATGCTTTAGATCTTAGGGAGTATATAGTGTATAAAATAAAATTAATCTTACAATTATCAACTCTAAAAAATAGATTAATGTGAATTTTTTGCGTAGGAGTATTTTCATTTTTCAGATGAATTATAAGCATCATGAGAAAATTATGAAAGAATCCAATCTTTTAAAATTGGTGCAATGTGATCTATTTCTTTACGGTTTAATTTGGTTTAAAAAAAAAAGACAATAAATTTTGTGATACGGTATGAAAGCTACTTGTAAGTGGGATGTTGCAAGTTTGATTCTACTCAAATTGTTAATGCTTACCCTTTAATTAAAAAAAAGGAGGATGAAAGTTAGATTCTAAAATATTAAATTAATTATAATAGTTAGATTTCTAAAATAAATTTTAAAAAATGATTTTTCAAATATCGATTTTAAACAATTATAAACAGAAACACAAATTACAATCTGACAATTAAATTTGAAAACTTAAATGTTTTACCTACAATTAAAACTCATGAATTTCTAATATTTTCAATCAATATTTTCAATTTATTCTCAAAAAGATTTTGTCACAATCTAATTGTTATTACTTCAAAATTTTGAAATTTAAGTGTTATTTTTTTCAAAAAAATAGGTCATTCAAGCCTGCCCTAACGAATAATAATTGACTTAACATTGGCAATTTAAAAAGATTATATTGTATTGATTTTAGAAATTATGTGTTACACTACTTCATAATTTTTTTTACGATACTCATACAGCAACTTTGAACATATTACAGGACAAAATAGCACATTTTAACCATACAAAAAAACAGTATTTTTGTTAAAAATATTTTTTAAAATAATAATAACAGGATGCTGGTCATCTAGATTTCATGTGGATTTGATGATATAGACAAATCTATATATATGATTTCTGCCCACGAAAAAGTTACTTCATGAACAAACAAAACCATTTTGCTTTCTCTAAGGAACCAATAATAATAACAAATTCCTCTTCGCACTAAGTCCTCGATTCTCTGATTTGAGGACCGACCAGAAAGTGGAGAAGTAAATCTAAAGAAATGATCATAACATTTCTCTATGGCCTCTCACCGTAGCACAAGCGCGCACACACAAGATGTTAAAAGAATAACACATAATTACCCAAGACTCTATAAAAATATCAGCCATGAATCTTAAAATCTAAAATCATTAAAGGAAAGTGCTCACGATGCAAAATTCAAGGGAAACGTGAACTAGGTTTCTTTAGTACAGAAACAAATGGAATTTAGAATATTGAGAAAATAACAATCAGGTTTAAAAGATTGCATTAATAACTGTTAAATCTTGACTATTTTTTTTTTTAAAAATTAGTTGCAAATATCAACTCAAATATTTACAAACAAAAATCTCAGTTACAATCTAATAGTTATAATAAAATAAAAATGTTTTATCTTCAAGTTCCTAGATTTGTAATTATTTAAATTAATGTTTTTAACTCTTATTTTTTAAAATTTGTCATGAACCTTACTATGATTTTCTTTCTTAAAAAGTTTTAGAAAATTTTAATGTAAGAGCATACAAATCCTTAATATAGAAGAATTTGATTCTATTTTGTTAAGATTAAAGTATAAGACACAAAATAATAACATAAAATACATACACTGCTAAATATTGATTCAACTAGTATGAATTTGACCTTATAACGTCGTGGGATCAAATTTTCATATCAATATATGAAAATCTCATTAATGAATAATCTATAAATACTTTAACTTTATAACTAGTCTTTGAATTTGATGATGTCTTCTGATCCTAGCGAGTCCTTGAAACTTAACCCATATAAAATTTTCCATATACTTTAAAGTTGGCTCTTTTATACACATATACACACATCTCATAGAATATAATCAAAATAATCGCATTAGAACCTTGTATATAAGTTAATGAGTAAATAGGATCCTGACTTATTATTTAAAAATTGTTTTGGACCTAAACTCTTAAAATATGCAAAATAAACTCTAAATTTTAAATTCATAGCAAAATAAACTCTAATCGTTAACTTTTTTAACATCATTGCTATTCACATGAGTGCCGTAACCCTTGTGTATATAATTAATTGCTTAATTGGTCCTCATGTGCCTTTCATTTTCCTCATGTCTCAGAACCTATCACCGTCAACAGCTAATTCATCTGTGTCTCCTATCTCCGAGTCTGCATCAATTTTGCCGTCTCATTCTTACTCAACTATGGCCTCAGCATCAATATAGCTTAGATTTGTTTCCAATTTTAGGTTTATTAAGAAATATTAGTTACATTCTTAAAAATGTAAAAAAAATGTTAGTTTTTAATTTTATTCTTCTTTATAATTAATAATCATAATAAATTTCTATCATAGAATTTAAATCATAATAAATGAATAAGGATAAAATTGGAAAATAAAATTAATTATTATGATTTTTTTCTTATATTAAGGATCAAGAAAAGTTTCCAAAATTTGACTTATATTAAGGACATAAGGGAGTACTAGTTTTAATTATAATGCTTACTACATAGTAGTGGATGTTAAGCTTTAAAAGTTGAACTTCAAAGGGATAGTAAGAATATAAAATTACAAAGCAGAAGATATAAAGATGTTTAAATGAATGTATGGACATACAAGAAAAGGTTTTAAGAAAAAGTTGATGTTGCATCTAATCAGAAAAAGATAATTGAAAATTATTTAAGATAATTTCGGAAAAAAATATGAGACAGAAGAAGGTAAAATAGATAACCTTGAACTTTATGAAAAGGAAAGAAAAACCGAAAGGAACACTCAACAAAATTGTTAAATGAGATGTTTTGCTAAATAATATAATCAAAGGCGTATTGTTGATAAAGTATAATAATATCATGTAACCCTATCTAACCTAATGGAATGCTAATTCTTGATGTTGTTGGATAACTATATAATGCTTACTAAAGAGTTTGATTTGAGACCGCAGGTGGTCTAATAATAATCGCAATTAAACCACCTTCTAATTGCAATTATAATAAATTTTGTCATTAGATCATGATGAATTAATCGTGATTTGAAAACTTAAATAAATTTGATATATTAATCAAGAACAACTCTGGCGTCTAGAGTAATTAATTCAGCGTTTTTTGGTCCTTGAAGGTTGGTACGTGTTTAAATGCTGTCTGTGTCTATTACTATATCAGAAGCCAGAAATGCAGAAGCAGCTTTAGAATCTCATTCATGGCTTTTAATTACTTTGATGCACCAGTATGCCAAGCTCAGAATAATTAGTTCAGACCCTATCAACTGATCATGCAATTAATAAATTTTCATGGACTGATAAATCTTATTTCTTATATTTTTATAGATGAATTAATTTTCAAGTAAATATAAGTTCCTGAGTAATTATCTATATATTTAATATATATAATATAATATTGAGATGATAAAACGTTTAATGCTTTAAATTTATTTCAGTCATCGATTTAATTTTAAATTTATTTTTTTATCAATCAAATCCCTCATGTTTCCTTAAGTTGTCACATTTGTCCTATATGTTTTGAAATACTACAAGTTGACCTCCAAATTAATCTTATGTGTAAAATATATTTATGATTTAGCATGTATATGTAGTTAAATGAGAATAATTTTTTTCAAATTAATTTAATTTTTTATATATAATCATTTTACATGGTGTTTATTCTTTTGTTTTTAAAAATTTTCAAGTCTATTTTCTTTTTTTACTTAAATAATTACACTTATTTTCAATAATTTACCAGGTTATCAACTCAATATCTTGATATTCATGTCAGTAGATTTTAATGATATCACCTCTCTTCAAATAAGAAAAACTAAATCAATAATTGAGGTAAAATTGATAATCAAATTAATAAAAATTAAATTTAAAGGATTGAATTGATAAGTGAAACAAATTTAATAGACTAAAAGTTTAACTATTCTTGTAGAAATTTTATTCCTTCCGTTTGGTATTATAAGTAAAACAAATTTAATAGACTAAAAGTTTAACAAATTGTACATTATTATTTTTAATAAATTAGTTAATTATCTTTAAAATTGTACAATATTTTTATGTTTCTTCTTATTTAATAAGATATTTTATTTAAAAAACCTTATTAATTATACTCTCAATTAAGGATATTTTTGTGATTTCTTTAATTGCACGACCCAAAATATCTTATAATTTCTAACATGATATATATATTTTTTTAAAATATCTTATAATATTGAACAGAGAGTTGCCTTGCTTTGTGTGGTGGTTAAATCAGGTCATTTATTGTTGGGAAAATTGAATCCAAGAACTTGTGAGGATAATTATTTGTAGACAATAATTCATATAAAATAAATTATTGTTAAAATAAAAATATGATTTTTTTTAATGATGACTTGTCACTAGTCTTTTTCTGCAGGTAAATTTTTTCACATGTCCTTGATATGATTTTCTTTTTTTTTTCCCCCAACCCTTTTGGTAGAAGCAAATTTCATTCCCAGTGGCAGGTAGTGAAAAATCCTTCCTCAACGGTCAACACCAAACAATTGTGGGTCTCATTAACATATGGGCCAACAAGGCCAGGTCTGGGCTTGACGTAACTACCCAACCCAGCTGAGAAGGCCCAAATAGCCCGCTTTCATTTTTCCTTCTCATTCGCGAGTCCCTTCTTCGCGTCCACTCTCTCTCCGTCCCCTTCACCCATTTCCCGGTTTCTCTCCCCGTGGTCCATTTCAGAGGTCAAACAACAAACAATTGCTCTAGTTTTTCCTTGCCGATTGGCGAATTGGCAGGAAAGCATTGAGCTACTAATCAAAAAAGAAATACTCAGAAGAATAAAAAATATAGACACAAATAGCATTCTGATTTAGACACAGAGAAATAAAGGGAGGAAAAATGGCGGAAGGGACCTCCAACGATGACTTATTGAGGGCGCCGGAAGCCATTACATCCTCCGAGGCAAGCTTCTTTATTCTCTTACTTAAGTTCTGTTCAATCTTCGATTTCCTCCGTATATGATGCATTAGCGGGCTCTGATTCGCATGTTCTTGCAGTGTAATAAGCTCGTTATCGTTGCTTCTGTTCAAGTATTTATAGAATCTCTTCTGGGGAACGGGTATCTTTGGTTGCGGCTGTAAATTCTTTGAATTCAGTGGGTTTATGGGGGGGGGTTGGGAATTTTTTTGTATCCGAATAATTAACTTGGGATTCGAAATTAGTTCAGTTTAGTAGTAGAATCCAAACCAGTTTTATTGAATTTTTCTCTTTTCTCAAGCAACAGAAGCTGATATTTGCATGCTTTTGTTACGAATGCTACATTCAAACGAGCAGAATAGAATGTGTAAAATTGCAGTAGGATATGTGTGCCTGTGCAGTGGAAAGAGAAGTCAAATAAAAATAACTAGAAACTTCAGGGTACGTAAAATTGTGTTTCTTAGAGATAAATGAAGTGCATATAATTTTCTGTGTTATTCTATGAATGGAGTTACATTGGCTTCTTCATGACCTAGTGGTCACCATAGTAACAGAGCTTTCTGCATGTTTATCAGTGAACTTAAAATTGGGATTTCACTATCTTAATTCAAACGTTGCTAGATTGAAAGGTGAATAGGATTGAATCAGCTGAGAATATACCTCTTGGGGTTGCATCTTGATTGCTTTTAGAGATTGAGTTGTTGCTTAGCAATATTATCAAGGAGGAAATAAATGAATATTTTCTTTTCTAACTTGTATTTACTATTTCCGGAAAAAAAGTGCAAAATAATGTAGTTTTGGATGCTTGTGTAAGTTGTTATGTACCCATCATGATTTAGTCTTTCTAGTACATAGATAACTTCATGCATGCTATTGCTGGCCATTTTTTACAGTTTGAAAATTTTGTAGCTTCCTTGGTTGCTCATATAAAAGTCACATTTAGGAGCAATATGTAACTGCGGTTACAGACAATTACGAGACCACTTGCTGGGGTTGCGGACTGCGCCAACCACTCCCATCTTGTACATCTGTTTTCAAATGTGTCTGGTGTGGGGCCATAACAATCAAAACAAGCAAAAAAGTGACAACAAGTGCTTTAAATGGAGAAGACTTCGTGATCGATGCATTGTTCCTGTTGTCATCACGTTTATGCTCTTTGTGATATGTAAGCCACTGCTGCTGCTGCTGCAGTTTTCTTTCAGTCTTTGTTAACCTGTTTGATCAGACATTGTATTCATCCTTGGTTCTGCCCAAAATTCATTTCCTCTCTTTTTTATTTTCTATGTAGATTTTTGTTCTTGACAGCTTGTTATTAAATGTTTGTCCAGTTGAATGAATTTTCTTTTCCTTTCAGAAGTTATATTGAGATATTAAATGGGCAATTGGTTCGTTGTTAGAAATCAATTAATGTTGCAGGAATAATTATATTATGGAGCAAAAGGTGTGTCTTTAAGTTGAGTTCTCTCCTCTTTTCCAGCTGGTTGAACCAGCAGGGAAATTTTAATGTAACCAATAATGATAGTTGAACAAATGTGTCACCTCATTAGGAGTGTATTGACGTACTGCAGTTCTAGTGAATGGGTATTGTAATCAAGATGATTTACTATATCTCAATGGATATATTCTGACTAACCATGATTTAGTTCTGCTTCCATTAATTTTATTTGGTTGAATGTGTCTAAAAGTGCTTTTGAATAACAAGATACTGTGAGGGTGCAGGAGAAGATCAATGCATTTGCAGAAGAAAAATACTCTGTCTAACGCATCTTACCTAATGTGTAATATTTTTTGATGAGTAGGCATGGGATACGTTTTACTTTAAGTACAAAAATAACTAGATAGTGGGTTCCATGCTTGCAGAGTCTAAGGTGAATCCTATTGTTCATGACTTATGAATAATAGGCTTCCTATGGATTTTACATTATATATCAATTATGATATCATACGTTTATGGGTTAAAGTGATCCGGATTGTATCAACCAAGCATGCCCCTCTGTATTGCTATTGCTAATTGTATAAAGTGATGTACTCTGTATCATAACATATCATGAATAGATAATATTGAATCAAGATTTGGCAGGGGGATTGGTGAATTAACCCTGTGCGATATACTCTTGTTTAAACCAGTTCTGATGCCACCCTTGCATGTGACAACTTTGTTTTCGGTGGTTAAACTTATTTGTCCACCTCCTTGCAGAATATCTAAATATAGGTGCTTAAGTATACTGGCTTGTTGGTATTATTGTTGTATTAGATACATCTTTCAAGATGCAATAATAACTTCAATGATGGAAGGTGCCATACTTATATTAGGATGCCAATCTTGTGGTCCAGTACACTGTGTATCAGAGGTTCTTGAGTAAATGTACTTCTCTGTTATCCACTCTAGATGGAGATAAGTATCTTATAATAATGAAACAAATACTTTCAACACTTGCTCCAAAAATGAACGTTTGACTGAACTATTCTTTAGTTGTAATATTCTTTTCGTTTCTGATGCAGTTGGAGGTGTGTGGGCAATATACCCCTTTGTCCTTTCTTTCAGTCTTTTTGGGATTACTCACTGCATCATAACAGCAACCTTGTCCATATCCACCATTTCCTTTTTCAGCCTTGCAGCATTTAAGTGTGCAGGCACGCCCCCGAATATATTGTGGGGAAGCTACCCTACTGTTGGGAAAGGGTACCTTGAAAACTACACTTTCTGTCACTACTGTTCAAAACCAAAGGCACCTGGAACTCATCATTGCCGTTCATGTGAAAAATGTATTCTGGACATGGATCATCACTGCCCCTTTGTAAGTTTTCATTTTTTTTTTTAGTTGAAATTTCATAATCTGTTGCACATTTCCTGAAATCTTCTCGACATAAATTAATATAAACAATGCGTGCCACCTTTAACCATACAACTTTTGACTTATTAATTTATTGTTCTAAGTTAACTTGTCAAATAGATATTAGAATTAAATGTTACTAATGCTGGAATTTTGTCGTATGCTTGAGGCCTTTAGTATTAAATCTTGTGAGTTTGATCTATCCTTGTAATTAATTTTTCTGTTTGTTGGTTGTATCCTTTGATTATGAAAATATATAATCCAACAACTGCCTTTGCAAGAAATGTGTGAAAATTTATGTAAAAAATGAATGAATGATTAAATAAATTAACATGGATTTTGGCTTCTTTATGTTCTGGCTTTTGGTGGGTGTTTACAGCGACAGAAGGGAATTGTGCAGCAAATAGACTTAGGGCTCTGTCACGAGGTTGGAGTTTTAGAATTGCGAAGGGCAGCTGTTATTGGAGTATTTGGACTCAGCAGACCTAGGATTTTGAGAGTACTAGGGTGTGAGTTAAAGGAGTCAAAGGCATGGGAGAACTTGTGATTTTGATAATTGAGAATATGATTTTGTCAGAGTCCTGATTTCAGAAAGTAAAGAAAATGATTTTGGGGTGTTTTATTGCTAAGAAAACAGTACTTAGAGAAGAACACGAAGAAAAGAATTAGATTGCAAGAATTCAACAGAAACCTCATTAAATCAGTTATCAAATTTCATCTCTGAATTTGCTGGGAAAGATCTTCTACGACTAAGAGGAAAAATATTTTGCTACCCTTTACTAGCACTAGCACTTTTAACAAGAGACTGTTTAATTATAATCTAGATTGGGCTTCATGTCTTTAATTCTATCCTTTTTCTCGATTGTTTTCCTGGTTAAGGAATCAGGCGTGTCCAAGCTGTGCTCAATCTGAAATTGTAAACTTTTTTTATCCGGCATACCATATGCTTGTCAGATAAATGTTGTTATCAACCTGTAATGGAAGTGTGGTTCCGCGTCTCTAACGCAGCTGACGTTTGAATAGTTGTGTGCTTGTCACTTAGGTATCTCTTCCTTTTCTATTCTGTTTTACAAAAAGGTTTTTGAATTTTGGTCTTAATCATTGCCTATCAACTCTGATGAAGTGGATGCTTTTGGTATTCATTCTATTATCCATAATGCTAGGGCTAGGCTTCAAATTTTCTTATGAGGAGGAATGATTTGACAACTTGGTAATTGGTTTCGTAACCTTTCACAGATTGGGAACTGTGTTGGTGCAGCTAATCACCGTGACTTCATTGCCTTCCTCATTTCAGCTGTGATCAGCACACTCTATGTTTCAATCATGTCTGCATATACAAGCTTTCTAATATGGCCGTCTGTGACATACCCCCCCCTTGGGGGCATCAAAGGGATTACTAGAAGAGATCTGGTTTGGAGAGCCATGAATGAAATTATTTCTGCTCTCCTCAAATCTGTTCTGCTTCTACCCACAAGAGGGCTTGTTCTTGTATATCTGTTCTTTTCAAGCCTTTCAGTGCAAATAGGACTCAGTGTTCTTCTGTGGCAGCAGCTTTCTTACGTGTATGAGGGAAAACCTTATTTGAGCCACTTGAGTTCACAGGCAGATAAATCAGAAGGGAAGAAAGATTGTCAAAATTTTGTTAGATTCTTTGGTTTCCCATATTATATGACAAGATTTTTGCCAAACTTCCGTATGGGTAGGAAGAAGCACACAAAGTGAAACCAGCATTGGTATGTATTACTAGATAAGACTTGTTTTCATTCTTGTGAGAATTCATGTCACGGTATTCTATTTTGTTTTTAAGATCTGTATGTCAGATTGTCACTGTATGATTGACATCACTGTAGGAAACATACCCACTTGTTATTTCAATGAGGAAAGGCCTCTCTCAAAGTCCAACTTTATTTATGTAAATAATGATTGTATTACTGATAGCGTATCAGAAGTTGTTTTTGATAGTAAGTTTTGGCTAATGAATGAAATGATTCATTCATCTTACGCCCTCACAAATGTCACCTTGTCCTTTTTGTTTTTTTGGATTTCAAACTGTAAATCAAACAAGTACAAAGGCTACAAGGAGTCCAAAAACGGCACCAAAAAACGAAAAAACAAAAGGCCCAACAAAACCCTATCCTCTTTCACTATCTTCCATTGCTAGAGGAGAGCATGGATGATAATTAAAGAGGTAGAAATTACTATGTAAAAAATGAGAAAGCCTAGTTAAGTAATCAGCATCACTATTATGGTCCCTATGAACATGGTTGAGAGTAATCCGACCTTCCCTACAAAAGTAAGCTCTAGCTTGATCAACAATATCCCACCTTGTCCTTTTCTAATGAGATATAGACCCTGACCTTCTAATATACTGGCTGCTACTCTTTAGGTTCAATATTATATGACATTTTATTTAAAATATCATGTTTAAAAATATAAGTTATTTTGAGTTTTCTAATTCGCAATTAATAATTTTCTAATTGAGATACTTTATTAAATAATGATAGAATATGTAATTTTAAAGATAATTAATTTTTTTATTAGGAATGTAAATAAGTAATTTGATTAAAAAATATTTTATAATAATGACTGAAGAGTGAAGAGAGATTATTCAACCATGTGCTCTTTAACGTGTGAACGGTGAACACTATTTCACGTGGAGTTGGAAATCAAGTACAGATTATCTTGTGAACTACATAAATTGCTTTGCATGACTTCAAAGTCAGATTCTATTTTGCATTTAATTAACTAAATATGGGATCACATGCATACAAGAAACTTTAAGAATGGATTGTTTTGTTTATGAATTATAAATAGCGTGATTTTTATTATCACTTTATACTGTATATTGATAAGCTCCCTCATGTCCTTATATAAGAGTTTACTTGGTCTTTAATACTAATATCAGTCACCTTATAAAACTTGATCAAACATTAATGAGTTATTTTAAAAAATGCCCACATATTCAATTAGTTTATTTGGGTGGCATGTTTGACTTTAAGATTTAAAGATGCAATTAATAATCTTAATTAAGGGATAATTTGAGATTTTTATAGAAATTTTTTAAAGATCAATAATTTTAACTAATTTTAATCACTTTTCTTAATCTGCATAATTCGGTTGAAAGAGGGAGTATTAATTAAATTGGTCCAATGTACCATTTTTGACTTTATTCTATGAAAGAATACACTGTTTCTGGAAAATTCATTCATATTATTTTATTAGTAGGGAAAAAAACAGAGTAAGTAAACAGGATGAGAAAAAAAATCCAATTCATATTATAAACAAGGGAACTCAGCTTATTCAGGAAATCTGCAGAGTAAAGGCATTCCAGACTTCCACACTTGATTGGATAACAATTAAATTTAAAAAAAAAAAAACTCATCATATATCTTCAAAACCTCCTTGTTAACAGAAACTAGCATTTAAACACTTCCATCAATTTAAAAGTTTTACAAATAAATATGATAAAAAATTACAATAATCGTCACTAACAGGCATCTAAATCATATGGGTTAATTGGATATGATTTCTCTGTCTTTTATCAAATGAAAATGAGGCTGGTTTGGTGGTTTTATTTTGTTTGTTATATTGATTGAATGGCGGTTAGCAATTTAACAATTTTATTAAACAAATTGAATTTGTTGTGCACCCAAAAAAAATGAATTGAATTTGACAGATCAATTTGAAACAAAAAGCCATGGTCTTATGTCAAAATTTACAATCAACTGAGCCTTATTTTGAGTACTAATAATTTTATACATATAATTCAAACTTTTGAATGTAGTTGGGAACTTTGATTAAAAATAAAAATACTACAGAGAATATATAACCAAAAGCTGCTTGATTTAAAAGAGTTAATTAACTTATTTATAAAAATGTCAAAGGCATTCATAAATATCCGTGAGACTGCTATTGGTAAAAGCGATCATATAGCAAGTGTTTGAATTAATTTGAACAGGCGATCTTAATATTTTTAAGTTTCTAGGATGCTTGCAGTGGAATAAAGAAAAATTTAAAGAAAAAAATATAAATAATTTAAAGTCAAAGTCTACAGACACGCACCAAGGGAAAATTAGGGAACAGCAGAGCGCGCAATTTTTTAAAAACAGTCCAATGTTAGCCTCTTTAACTATCATTGGTAAGTCGCTGGTTTAAAAAAAAAAAAACAACAAATCATTGTCAAGTCAACTTTTAGTACAAATCAAAAGGCTATTTTTGATCCAAAAGTTAATTCAATATTAACTGTTGAAAAAGGGTAAAATATTACATTAATCTTAAAAAGATTATATGTCATAGTATTCCATAATCTTGTAACCTATAACTTAATAATAAAACTAAATTTTAGAATTTGACAAAAAACTATAATTGAAAAATAAAAATTTTCAAGTAGAATCAAGTGATTGTGAGTTTAAATTTTAATATTTGTATATATAACAATTTATTGATGATTTTATTTTGGCAATGATTAAAACGAGATAATAAATGAGAAGTTCTACTTTGTAAATTTATCAATGATTATTTTAATTTAAGTAATGATTTTTTTTTTACAATGACTACAACAAGATAAATAATTACAACTTCCTCTTTATAAAATTTTTAATCACTGACGCTCAAGTGTTGTAAATATCAGTAACCATTTTAGTTTAAGTAATAATAATTATTTTTCTTTTGACAATGATTAAAATGGAATAACAAATACTCCATTTCATTCAAAAATGTAAAGTATTTTTTGAAGAGTTAAATGTTAAAAAAATATTAGACAATTTTAAATATTTTAAGGTGTAATTATCATTTTTTAAAAAGTATCCATAGTAAATAAATCACTTTATATTTACTTTAAAATGAAACACTCTATTGAATATACGTAAATATGAAATGATGATGTTAATTTAAAGATAGTTAATTATTTTATTAAGGGATAAAATTTAATTAAAAATATATTATAATTTTTAACAGAGTGATTAACAAATTTTGCTTTTCTCGTTTCTTCTTTTATTGTAAATTTGGGGCATTAAAGTCGTTTTATAAACAAAATAACGTCAAAAAAGTCTCAAGAGGAATTATCACATCTAGCAAAATCCCATTGTTTTTTTTTTTTTGAACGAACGAAAAATTTTATTGTTATTTGTATATTTTTTTAAGGGAATTCTTTTGTGATTTTCCCTTCTTATATTTTTTAAAAAATAAACAATATATTGAATCCGACATCCAACGAGTCTACCATTGCAGAGAGGATTTGGTATAATAATATAAAAAACATAAAAAGGTCAAACCCAAGAAATAAAGGATTCAGGACAAAGGAAAGAAGAATTTATTCAGAAGATTTTTTTGACCTCTTGTTTACAAGATTATAAAAAACTACAAAATGTCATGTTGGGGTTTATGCGGCTGCTTTAATTGAAAACATGGCATCCTTGAGATATATGTGAGACTCTCTATTCGTAATGCAAGATACATATTAATTTAAAGGAAATTTGATTTGTATATGACAAGTGGCTTAAATCTACTCAATCAATAAATGTCTCATATGAGATGATAATAAACACTTGATTTAATTGAATGATTGTCAAGGATTTTATCATATGGGACTTAAAAAAGTATCAAATCTCAAATGGGTCCATCTTTGATGTTATCAACTCTACTAATATCTATATTGTCCACATTTTAATATGAATGACCTAAATTTAAAATTTTTTATTTTTATTTTGTATTTATTAAAATAAAAATTTATAAAAAAGTAAAAAATATTTTTATCAACATGAGAATTTTTATACTTTTTTATTTTAATAAATATAAAATAAAATTTAAATTTAAAACTTTAAATTTGGACCTTTGTTATTGGAAGGTCTAAATCTTATCACGGTGATGTGTATTATAGCGTTGATTTCCTAAATAGCACCGAAGATGAATCCATCTCGAATCTTTTGAAGCATATGGTATGTAAGAATTGTTTTAATTTTTTTTTTAAAGAAAAATGCATGTCTATGAAATCCTGTAATTGAAACACTCAATTAATGAATGGACTTACGCCAAGAATTCAAATTCATTTGAAGGTGGCGTCCCAATGTAGAAGGAATCGGGAGAAAACAAAGTAGTGTGACACATGAATCCCCGTGTCTCTGAATCTTATGGCTCCGTCATAAACAGGGCGATCGAATGAGAATACAATACAGAAACAGAAGCGCATGCGATTGACTTCTCAAGGAGTTCGGTTTTCAAAGCTTGGGAAGTCATGTGTCGAGTGTCGTTATTATGTCACTGACGTCGAAAGGAGCATGGATGGACATGGAAATTCGGTTGCCTCTAAAAGTCTTCAAGTACTTATGGGAAGTTATGGCAAACGATGGCGATTGAGATCGCACACCGAAAACCCTATCCTCGTTCGTCAAGTTCATTAACTCTCGTAGGGTCGGCGCCAATGATCCTTCCCTATTGCCTAACAATTTTCCAATACAATGAAGATAGCGTCCTATTTGGGAAATAATCTGTACGTCGTGCATCATGGGAATGGGATGACAGGACTCTACGTGTTCGACAAAATGACGCAATCAACCATATTTGTCAACATTCACACATGGGATAGATACTGGCCGAAAAGACCCTCCACATGGATGGATAGGATTATAGGAATAGGACCGTCATGGTTCGGCTAATATGTGCCGGCCGGCCGGTGGCAATTAAGGTGATGATCAAACATAATCTATTTTTTGTTGCTACTTATGGGGTTGTTTTGAATATTAATTACAATCAAAATTACATATTGGTTTAGAAGCGGGCGAAAAAAGGAACCGGGCCTGATTTGGTAACGAGGGGCAGGGTGTTATGTTTTGGAGTAACTTCTAAGATCAAGCTTAGTTTCATTCTGTTGTTACGTGGTATAGTGTGACTGGTCAGATCAAATTGGTTCAGATTGCGGTCAAGACTCCAACTTCCAACGACCGCACTGTGCCCATATACGATGTGCCCTTTTTTCTTGCTGAGCCACGTTTCACCATAATTTCCAACTCATTGATTCACTGATTCTCAGAGTCCCTCTTTCTTTTGAAACTTCCCACGAGTCAATTTAAATACTTTTTTAAATATACCCAATCTTCAACATTTTTTCTCCTCGGGTTTGAGTTAGAGATGGCCTTTGCAATTCCAAGTATCGTTGCTTCTCTTGTATTTCTTCTTCTTCTTCTGCAACCTCTGGCTGCTACAATGGATTTCTTGTCTCCTCTGTTCTCTCCCATAGCCGGTTTGTGACTCTTCCTCTTACTGTTATCTCTCTTGCTGCTTTCATTGTCTATCTTTTGAATCTTGATTATTGATCTGTTTTTATGGATTTTCTTATTGGGATTCTCTGCCGATTTAATTTTGGGTTTGAGGTTTCTCGACAGTTTACCCGTTGGGTCATTTTCTGATTTCTTGTTTTTATATGATTTATAGCTTAAGAAATCTAAAGAATCTCCTCATACTGTTCCATTTTAAACGTGAATTGATGATTATCAGATGATATATGCAAAGAAGTTAAATGTGGAAGAGGTGCTTGCAAATCTTCGGGCAATAGCTCTCTTTACGAATGCGAGTGTGATCCAGGTTGGAAGCAAACTCGTTTTTCTGACGACGACAAGTTAAAGTTTCTTCCTTGCATAGTTCCCAATTGTAAGAACTCCCTCTCCCTTGAATAAATGTATATGTGTACTAATATCTTATAGTCGCACTTCTGCTAGAAAAATATTTCTCACGTAATGTCTGGAAGTATTATTGACCCTATTGTACTGTGTTTATTTTTGGCTGTATGTGTTCAAAAATATCAACGTATTTGGTGAAACTGTCTAAATCTTATAAACGTTGAAGCAATTGACTTTCAAGGTAGCAAGACGAATGGTTAAATTCATTTCTTGCTTGTAAGGTGGACATGTTCTTCACATGCTAGGAGCCTGTTAGAATGTGAATTTGTGGTCTTCTGATTACGATTTTGAAGTGGGATCTAAGCAAAAGACTATAGACAAGACGTGTTCTAAATTTAAGTAATATTATAAACAAGAGCAGTTCTGCAGCTATGTGATACTCCATCCAACCTTTTCCTATGCATACAGAGGCAGTTCGCTTGCAGCATGAAGTCGAATCAATTCATTGTAGCGCGCTGCTTAAACAGAGTTCCAACAATTAAGTAATGATTTCAGGCTAATGAAATTGCGAATTGCTCATGACTCTCTTGAAGCAGGGATCTAGTTTTAATGGCACATTATTGGAACTGTGTGTTTCATTTGTTTTTTTGGGTAAATGGGATCTTAACAAAGTAAACAAACCTACTGATCAATAAAGTGTCAATCTTTCAGTTTCAGAAAATATTCAGATGTAATTGTAAGTCTATGTTTTTGGCAAAATGATCCAATCTGAACGACCCTACTAATAAACGAAAGCAAGGATATTAATGATTTCAGTTTTAGAAGACATTCAGAAGTTAACAGATGATGCTTTTGGCCTAATTGTTCACACTCTGTATTTTATTTGCTGTTGACAAGTAAAATTTGTGCAAACCTGCAAATAAAGTAAAAGAGTGATGTTGATGTTGTGGCTTCAGAAAATATTTAGGTGCAGCTTCATATTAACTTACAAGAAGAATAAGTATGTGAATTTTGATTGATTATGATATGGTTCTTGAATGCGCATGGCCATCATTCTGTGCAGTTTTATTTGTGTTCTGGAGCGCTGACATGTTTGTATGATATGCTTTTTAGGTAGTCTTGAACAATCTTGCACCAACGCGCCTTCCCCTGCTCAAGAGAAAGCAAAAAATACTACTGGGTCAATATTTGATGGTAATTGATAGATTTAGCTTAATGGCATCTCATTTTTCAGTTTTATTTTATGTTTTTGTTGTATAAATTTTTGTTCATATGATTCTGTAGTTTGCCGTTGGGTTGATTGTGGAGGCGGATCATGCAACAAGACGTCTATGTTCTCCTACAATTGTGTTTGCGAAGCTGGCTTTTACAATCTTCTCAACACCACTGCCTTCCCTTGTTTCAAAGAATGTAAGATTACAAACACGATATCCTGTTTAGTAAATCAGTTTGAGATTTATGATTGATTTAAAAGGAAAACTTTCTGGTCTATGCTCACATATTGCCCTTAATAAAGTAGACAGCTTATTTTGAGCCTTGAAATTTGGATTGAAGGTTCTCTTGGCTTGGATTGCAAGAACCTTGGAATATCTTTGACAAACTCATCGAATGCTTCTCCACCACCGGCATTGGATAGCAATAGTAACGAGGGTAAGGAACAAATCTGAACAATTGGTTTTGCATTGCAAGTTTTGCTAAATGTTAATTGTGTTCTGTTCTCATTTAAAGATGGCCTTTTTTTTTTCGTTTGCTGCTGAACTGTGACTTTGTAGGCAAGACTTACTAGGTGAATCAGTAGCTAGATGTTTCTTGATTCTCTTAAATGATGTATGATACGTTTAATATTTTGAAATCAGTTTGCTGTTGTGTCTTGTAAATTTTAGGGTTAAGGCGCAAAAGTACCCCAAAAAAAAAAAATCTCTAAAAACTTCTAGTAACCTTAAGTCAACAATGATACACGTGCAGCCATTAATTTTATCAAAGATGTCAATCTTCCCCACTAATTCATTAAAATGGCCTAATGGTCAAACATTTGCAATCTTTAGAACTTGATAGTCAACATAAGGCCATTTAAACAGATTGAGAAAGGTTGTTTTCTTTTACAAAGTTAATGGATCTTTATGCATCATTATTGACTTAAGGATATTAGAAACTCTTAGAGAAAAAGTTTCTGAGTAATTTTAATCTTAACCCTAAATTTTAATCCACTAAAGGCTGTTTTTTCTTATAACATAACCGTAACATGATTGAAGTTTGCAAAGCTATCATCATAAATTGTTCCGGTAAACAACTATTTCATGCTGCAGTTTTCATTGTGACCTTGTGCACATGATAGTTTCATATCATATTCTTTTGTTTTCTTTGTTTTTGTTTTTATTTCTGGGTGTTTATCAGCTGTCTCAATCATACGAGGAAGCTTCTTTTGGATGTTCGCGCTGATTCTGTTCATGGCTGTGGTTCAGTTGCAATAGGACACAGTAGCTTATAGTTTTAGGAGAGTACCTGATTTTGTTATTGGTTTTTGGTGAGCCTTGGATATTTTGTAGAAAAGGATCTTCTAAAATACTTTACAGCGAAGTTAGAAAGGGGTAGGAAGAGATAAATTGGCCTTATTCCTCAGAGATCCACATGTGCAGATGTGGAATGTATCACTTTATTTCTATCTTTCTCTTACTCTACTTCTTTGAAGTACTTTAAAGATCTTGATTCGGATGTTTTGTGAAATAAATAACTCAGCTGAGATGATATTCTGCTGCAACTCTTTTGCATGCCTTTTTCTACTTTGTTTTCCTTCATTTTCTTTGTTTAGATGAAACGTATTAGATTATTAGTGATGTTTGGAATTTGAATATAGATTTATGAAAGACAAGAGATCATTATATACATGATATATAAAAGATCAAATTGTTCATTTCTTGAATAGTGTGACTTTCAGGATATGAAGGTATGCAAGCATATTAGGGTTAAAAAATAGTATTCCCTCTATATTAGTTTATAAGACACTTTTGAGAGGTAAACTAGTGTTTCAAAATATAAGATATTTTTAACAACAATAAAATTTCATCAATTATATTTTTTTTCAATATTACTCTTTCCTTTGTATTATATTTTCTCTCTCTTTATTTAATGTTTCACAAATAAGATCATATTAAATGAAGTATATTTTTGAAAATTTACATTTTGTATTTTAAAAAAATATAAAGTGTATTTAATGTACTTTATTAGTATGTATAGTTTTGTCAAAATTTGTCTTGCAAAATTGAGAGAGGGGATATTAATCTACCTTTAGGGCTTCGATTGGAATGGATTGATCCGGAATGTTTACACAAAACTTGAATGAGTTATATTGTGCACTAATTTTAAAGAACCCTGTCAAATATATTTTTTTCATTGCCCTACTTTCAATTAATAATGAAACATCAATTATCATTCTAACATGAATTATAAGATTACTAGTGGGAGGGAACACTAGATGTCAAAACTCAAAATGTGATTTGAATTTTTTTTTTCCCTTATATCATTGAATTTTTCAATATTTCTTATTATATCAAATTCACCCGAAAAGAATTATTTGATTTTAAAAAAATCAAAATGTTGATTTTTTTCATATTGCTTAAGTTTATTTTCCTAAAAAATTTCTTGTATTATTTATAAGTTATGACTTGTTTTTGTAAAACTCTGTGCAGTGGATGGATTATGATAGTTTCACTCTATGAAAAAAAAAATTGCCCCAGCAAATACCACCATCTACTTTATCCAAGGAAAAAAAATCATATTATTTTAGCAAATGAAATAGATTATAGGATTTTTTCTTTTTTTTTTGGCTGTGAGTATAAGGAGTAAAGCTTCTCAATAATGTAAACAAGGGTTAAAAGCAACTTCATTAAGAGTTTAGAAGCATCTAAGATCCTAACTCAGTATAAGAAGAGTAAATGGTAAACCTTTATTCCAATGAAATTGTAAGATAGACAACAGTTGAGAATTGAATTCCTAACCACTTACTTAAATGATGGGAATCTTTAACACTTGGGTCAACTTTAGTTAATACACTAAATTTGTCTTTATATGCAAAAAAACATGCACTGAACTGCCAAACCTCTGTTTTTGTTTTTGAAGGCAAGATTCATAACGGGCCTCTTGTTTATGAGATTAAAGCAGAATCAAACCCATAGCATGGGTTTTGTTTTCAAATTGGGTTTAGACCTCACTAAAACTAAGGTTTTATCATGGGCCATGAACCGTTGCACCATTTTTATATTTAGTTAAATACATCATCATCATCATCATCTCATTTGAGACATTGGAGGGGTTTAAGTTTTGAGTTTAAGCTTTGCAGATTTTTTTTTTTTAAATAAAGTTGCATTGGAGGTGTTTCTTCTTATCTGAGGCCCAACATTGAGTGCACACCATCAATAAAAAAGATTATAATAAATTATGCTGTTTTGTTAAACATCATAGAGTACATTGGACAAATTGTTTAAGTAATTTGTAATCAATTCTATAAAAAAAAAATTGAAATCAACTCAATCATTAATCAATATTTTTTTCATTGCACACATCAATTTGACTTGAATAGTAATCCTGATCGCAAACCTTTTTTCGTAAAATTAATTAATATTTAGTACTACTATGTTAAATTTGAGTACTTTCAAGTTGAATTTAGAATAGGCATTTTAACACAATTTTGTTATCCACAAGATTTTCACCAAATCCACCAAATGATGAAATGAACAATATTATAGTTTAAAACTACTCTTTACCACTCTCTATAAGTTTTTGATCATCTACAAAATGAATAAACACTTAATCATTCTCTTTACAATTCGATTAGAAGAATCATCAATTTGGCATGTTTCCATTGAGCATATTTTAAGATAAACAAATTATTGTATTGATTGGCTTGCTAAAGTTTAGGAAAATAGTTTTAATATTAAAATTTTTAATGATTTCTTTATATTCAAGTGTCTCCTTGATTTGTTTGTGAGGTTTGGTTTTAATGGTTGTCTTATCAACTAAAAAAATATTTTATCTAAAAAAAGAGTAATTAAAAATCGTCCCATCTAATCATTAAAATATTTTATTAAAAATTTATTTAAAAAAATAGAGCCATTAAACTAAAACATGGATGAAGAGGCTACTTGGGTGAATTATTAGGGCGATGAATGTGTTTGGGGGCCTCAAAGGCACTGCTAATGGATGGAGACTTCTTCAAATTTTGGTCACTTCTTTGTCACATCATATCTCTCCTTCTCCCCTCTCTCTTAGATTCTATTGTCTCCCCTTCTCTGTTTCATTATTTGATTATTTACACCACTCCTTTTTAATTTAATTATATGTTACAATTTTTATTTTATGTGGATGTGGGGAGAATGACAAATAAATGTCATGAATATACTTAAATTATAAAAGTACTAAAAAATTTAATTAGAGAAAATATCAATTAAAAATTATTGAAAAAAATTTATAAAAAAATATAATTTGGATTCATGTACTTTACTTGCATTTTATTATTGCTTTACACTTTTTTTGAATATTTTAAATTTCTATATTTTTATTTTTATCGTTTTAGATCCCTCTATGAAGAAAGTGTAAAGACTTTGAAAGGATCTAAAATAATAAAAATGTAAAAATGTAAAAACCTAAAATATTGAAAAAAGTGCATGGATCAATAACAAAACTCAAATAAAATATAAAGATTTAAAATTATATTTTTTTAAATTTATATCAGTTAACGATTACATATTGTCAAAACTTAAAATGGATATTTTTTTTACTTGAGTTAGTTTTTTATCAACAAATATCCCTTTAGATTTTAACAACAATTTATTCCAAATTAACAACAATCAATTCATGCTTTTTTAATTCAAATTTTGACAAACACTAGTTTTTAATTGCTATAAATTTCCTCCAGCAATCTTTCACCATTGTTTTCCCATTTAATTATATTTTTTAATATTTATTTATATAATAAAAATTTAAAGTAAAGATGAACTCTGTCTATGAAAAAAATAAACTTATTATTTGAAAACTTTAAATGTAAACCGAATTTAATGGTGGCAGTGAGGATGGAAACTCGTCCCACTAATGCTTGCTGTCATTAATATTCAATGCCCAAGTTATAACCATGGCTTGTAAACTGGATTAACCTAGTCAGTTAAACATGTAAAATTATTGAATCGGTGTGTTGACAAGTTTAATAAATAATTTATTTATAATCGATTTGATCTTGATTTTACTATAAATGTAAAATTTATCAATTAAATTAGTATTTTGATTAGTTTAATAATTAATTTAATTTTCAATACTTTAATTCTAATATATTATTAAAATAGGTGGATGACATAAGAAAAAAATCTCCAAAATATACAAATGATAAAATGACATATTTAGCCTTAATGATTGTTATACATTGAAAAATGACTATTTTGATTGAATTATTGATTGAAATAAAATTGAAAAAACTGCTTTCTTTGTGTAAATTTATTTATCAATCAACTGCTATTAAAATAAATTGGTGATTTTTAATTTTGTTTTAACCAATACCCTAACTAAAAGTCGTTTTTTAATATATAATTATCACTTAAAAATTATCATATTTTGTATTACTTAATTGTTATTTGTATATTTTGAAATTATATTTTTTTTCATCATTCCCTGTCAAAAAAAAATAATTATCACGTTTCACTTAAAAAAAGAATAGAACAATAAGTTAAAAAAACTGAACAATGAAAAGCTGAGAGCTAGCCAGCTAGGAGATGTTATAAGTAGAAAAGTGATAGAAATGAATCAGTCCATCATAAAAACAAAGAGTCATTGAAAAAGTGAGTGCCTGAGAGATATCCTACCCTGACTCTTATGCAGCCTCTCATGTCTCAGCTACAGAGCTACACATAGTTTCATTCATATATACTGTTTGTTGAAAAATAATGATAATAGGTTTTTTATTTCGTTGAGATGCATTATTATTATTATTATTATTATTATTATTATTATTATTATTATTATTGTAAGTTATTTTTTAGAAGGGATGGGCATATTTTATTACGAGTCACCAAGTAAGATATTAATTAATTTTTTTAAAAAAAATTGTCTCTAACATTTGATACAATTATCCTCCATGAGATGCAGTTGTTAGTTTTAAATAGTGACAATTTTAAAAACTTATTTATTTTTAAATAAAATTAATGATTTAAAAATATCTCATTAATTTTGATGGGATGGTGATGTCGGTCTTGTAGTACTTTTAGCAACCTCTTTCAATCTCAAGCATAGGACAAAATTATACTATATTTCTCACATACCGATAAAATCAAATATTTTGGTGATCTTGAAATGCTCAATGCCACTGCTACAAAGTAGGCAAATCCTATTATTACATTTATTAGTATTATAATAATAAAAATATTACTCTTTCTAATTATCAAATCCCCCTCTAATAAATTAATTAATTTATCTTTCAACTAATACTATATTTGTATTTAATAAAATATTTTATTTAAAAATAAATAAAAATAATTTATTTATGAAAAAATTTGAAAGATATATTAATTATATATTAATATATTAAAAATAACTTGTATTTTTTAATACCCAATCTATCAGATTTACATTTTTGAACTCATGAAGTATTAACTAGTCCTCAATTTTTTTAATTGTTTATTAATATATATACACTTTTTAATCTTATTTACAGGATAGAAAAATAAAATGATAATTTATTTATAAAATATTTGTCAATTTTTAATGTCCCTCTTGACA